GTTGATACTCGGCTGCATCACAGTTGGACACCGGTTACATCTGGACTCGGTTATCTCCGACATTGGTGACCTTTGGTCCTCGACATTTTGATCTTGTTGTATGACATTTTGGACTACTACTTCGGAGACCTACCGGACCCTATCTTGTGACCTATCGGTGTGATCTACCTCCTACCTCCTTCGTCTCTCCTCCCACCTTTCATCTGTGCATGTGTGTACGGGATCTGGGTATCTTCTATGCACGACCCAGACCCCACCATCTCATGATTGTATGTGTGTGGAGTGATGCCATGTAGGTCAGTCTATGTGAGTCAGTCTATGTGAGTCAGTTCGTTATAAGACTTCCACTGCATAAAAACTCATCCTATATTGGTTGATTCTTGGTTCTGCCCATACTCATTGGAGTATGTAACACTGGGGGTTTGCCTGATTGAAGGAGTTTAAGTTCTTGTTTATTCTGAGGGAGGATTTTTTGTCCAAGGCTAAGCATTGTTTCCATGGTGAATGACTTAGCCTGAAAACCACGCACATAAGTTAAACTGAGTATAAAAGGAAAATACTTTATATATATTTGCATATGAACTGGCAGCTGGGCATTGTTTCCATGGTGAATGGTCCAGCGTTAAGCCATATCATCAAGAAGAGAAAGGAAAAAGTACGAAGTATAAATGGAAATAATATGGGCAAGCTGAACATTGTTTCCATGGTGAATGGTTCAGTCCCCTGCCCATATTTTCTTTCCTTTTTGAAAACAAAGTGAGATAAAATACTTAATTTTGGATATTAAACGGCTCAGGGCGGCTAGGCATTGTTTCCATGGCGAATGACCTAGTCATATGCCCAAAATGAAAGAGAAGTAGTTGTGCAGCCTGTTCGTGTATATCTTAAAGGTAAGCTGGACATTGTTTTCATGGCGAATGGTCCAGCTTTATGTTTTATGTAAGAGGGAAATAAGGGTTCAATGACTTAAAAGATTCATAAACTATCTATATGGAATGAACTTGGGATGGTGAGAGTACTTACATTCGTGGTTTGGTTTCCATGTGACTGAGTGAGATGGCTAGTTTGTTTGGATTTCAGTATTATAGGTAGTTGCTTTAGATACTCACCATGTGCTGGAGCGATAGGAGTTCGTTTAATTCCTGCATTTTCTGTGGTAACTTTCTTTTATTTAAATCAATGCTTATATTTTCTGAGATCTTTCCTTTCACTTGGCTTTGTATAAATGTTGGCAAGTCACTTTCACTACGGAAAGCGCTGCCGAAATTTTTACAAAATCCAAAGAGTCAATCGAATTTTAAGTTGTCAAAAGTTCAGCTTTGTCTTTTCTATGACTTAGTTAAAATTTGGGGATTCTCTTTTTCTAAAGGGAGTGCTGCCCAAATTTATGCTAATTCAGGGAGTTAGACAAAATTGAACTTGGGAAGTCAAAGTTATTCTCAAATTCTGAACTTAGTCTTGTATAAATTTTGGAATAACACTTTTCTAGAGGGAGTGCTGCCGAAATTTCTACAAATCTAAGGAGCTGTCAAATTTTGTCTTGAAAGAAAATCGAGTTATTCTGAGTTCAAATATGAGGTAGCATAAATCTGGGAAGTCTCATTTTCTAAAGAGAGTGCTGCCCAATTTTTTACTAATTTAGGGAGTTAGACAAAAATTGACTTTCGTGAGTTAGAGATTATTTCTGTTTTCATATTTGAGCTTATATAAATTCTGAAAAGACACTTTTCCTACGGGAAGCGCTGCCGAAATTTTATTGATTTAGAGGAGTTAGATCATATTTCGACAGGTGGCGGTTCTGGTAATCCACCCTGGATGGGGGAGATTATGCCATGAGTCTACCTTTCTTTTGGCGCTGGCTTAGAGGTAGACTTAAGCTCAGCTATAAGGAGAGGCTTTGAGAGAGATTGTGGTATGGGGATTATTCTCCAGAGGCTTATGGTTTTAGCCTGGGGCGTCGACCTGTCTTGTGATACAGGTCCTTTTGGTCGTTTGATTCAGGATTTGGACTAGCTTCAGTTTAAATCCTACGAGGATCATCTTCTGTTATCACTGATAATAGGTCGGTTGGTTGATCGCCGACTTGTCGGCTGATGACACAACTTTGCTTATACCTGTGCCTCATCTTGATTGCCTTAGCCGTGGGACTTGATATGTTTCTTTGAAGGCTTTAACTGGACTTCTTTTAATGACCATTATAAAGAACTTATGAGATTTATGGGAAATTGGATTATGACTGGGGCTTGAGTGTGCGAGGCGTGGTGTGAGTTACAGGGAACATTAAAGTTGACCACATTGGTGTATGACAATGTGGCTATTGTGTGCGTCTGTGTTTTATGCAGGTTAGTATTTTAGAGCTTGGTACATGAGTCATACTTTGGAGGCAGTGAGAATGACAATCATGTTTCGCACGATCCGCATACCTGATGGGTTTATGTTTCCCCCTTCTTTCATTGTTACCTTGAGTCCTGATCTAATATACGAGTGTTCAAATGCTTATTGACTTATTGATTTTGCTTGTTAATTTTTATAGTTGGACATTGTAGTCCGTAGGAGCAGTCAAAGTCAAACCCCTTGACTTCCGCTCAGGCTTGGGGTAGGACTCGTCCCCATGGCCGCAAGAGGGGACTGCCACCACAGGTACGGACCTGTGTACCACCCACTCTGCACAGAGTGCAGAAGAGGGTGTGTGGTCTTCAACTCCGCTTGGCGGCTGTCCAGCGCCGAGAGATTAACCCTTAAGGTGCGTGTCAGCCGACACTTGAGTGTCGAGTGCGACCCTCGAGATTAACGAGGACCGCGCGAGTATGGGTACTACATAGTACGCCATAATTGCGACTGCTTGCGTACGCTTGCATTGCGAGTCGATATGAGTTAGCCCTACGTCCGCGCGGTTTAATACTAAGTCTCGCGCGCGACGCGTAATCGATTTCCACATCGAAGAGTTATGGGTTGGCTACCGTGGGGCTAGGAGTGTTGCCGCATTGTTTGTGTTGTGTCGTTTCGTATGTGTGTGTGTGTGTGTGTGTGTGTGTTTTATTTTTGTGTTCGTAAAGTGGTGTGCGAGTGGTGTGTGGGATGCGTTCTAGTTGACCGACGACGAGTTACGCTTGGGACCTCAGCCCCCCAAGATGTCGATTGGCGTGCCGGTACGACAAAGGCGTATTACCGCGCGTACGCCCTACGCTACAACAAACGAGAAACGCCCTCCGCTGGTCCACCTCTGCGATTGCAATTGATTAACTTTCGTACTGTGGACTGGTAGCTCGGCGGGGATGCGCCCACCGAAGGGAGGTGACAACTCTCGTAAGGTGGAGGTAAGTTGTGCCTCGCGTAGGCCCTATCCTATCGTAGGGGCTCGCGAGAGGTATGGCTCGCGCACTCGGTCGGAGCGGCCTAAGGAAGCTCCATTTGCGCGTTCGTAACAAGGTTGGTCCAACTCCTGCGTGACGCGGCCGAGAGGGTCCCGCACTGCCGCGTGCGGTGCCGGGCCGATGCGCTCGACAACGTGAGGTTGGTATCGGAGCTGACACGTGTCGGTTCTGATGATAGTAAGTCGAACTGGCGAGAGGTAGGAGAGACCCTCAACTAACTCGTCAGGATCGCCCAGTAACCCGGTCTCAGTCTAGTGCGGCTGCACCAGCCATACCAATGGTGGACGGTACTAGGGTGATCGTTAGCATCCCTACCCGCTTCCCCTTCTTCCCTAACCATACTCATCCCGAGGCTTGGCTGGAAGCTGTCGAAGCTCAGAACTACAGCGCAACCGATCTCCCCCGCGTTCTGACATTGCTACTCCGCAACACGTCACATGAATGGTTTAGGAAACATACATGGGTAGATTGGGCTACTTTCAAGACAACCTTTTTGGCTCGATTCGATACAGTCAGTGAAGATGCCGCCTGGTACGTGCTCAAAAATTGACCCCAAGGACCAGGGGAGTTGTTGCCCGATTTCGTCGATCAGTTTCAAACCACGTTGGACAAATCCGGGCGGGATGAGAAATCCGCTCGAGATTTGTTCATCGATCACCTACGAAGTCCGACACTGAAAGGGAAATTGCAGAAAAAGGTTCCACCGAAAACACACCAGTTATCGACTATCATCACTAAAGCGTTGGAACTAGACTCTGCTGATACAAAAAAATATATCAGCCAAGTAGACGAGGACATTACAGATACCATACGGGATGTAACGGCCAAAAGGCGATCATGGCTACAGGCGGTCGAACAGTTTTATCCCCGCCCCGACCATGACCTTCCCGGCGGGATCGTTTCCGATATCCCGACTGCTTCTCCTCCCTCTCCCCCGGTGAATCAATCGATCACACCCGTTAGAAGCGGAACTTCATCTGAACCCCCCTCGTCGGCCGTAGCCAATCTACACCTTGCCCAGATGATCCACACGGCTACTACTAAGCAGTTCGAATGGATGGGCAACCTGATCCAAATGCAGGCCGCTCATATGGAACGAATGGAACAAATAATGAGCAGGCTCATTAAGCCCAATCCAGCTCCTACTCGGCCTGCCCCTGCATCGTTTCCCCTCTTACCTGCTCCGCCTGCTCCAGGATTCGCCCCTCAGTATCCCCATCTAGCTAATCCGACAGGAAAGATCGAGTGTTTCAACTGCAGACAGCCAGGGCATTTTGCCCGAGACTGTCCGCAGCCGAAACGTAATCAGCCTCCCCCTGCTACGGCCCCTGTCGCCCTTAATCAAGTACGAGTGGCCGCTCTGATGGACACGGACCAGGGAGGAGAGCTCGTAGCGTATGCTCCAGAACAGCCTTCCTCTTCGACGATGATAGCGTCGACCTCAGGAGCTTCTTCCTCTGACGCTGCTGACGTGGTCGATCCCCTCGAGTATCTCCGTCTTGCCGGAATGATCGGAGCCGTCCGATCGGCCCAAGATGATCTCGAGTGGGTCGATCGCGAGTCCAATCCTGGACCACAGTTTTGGACAGGAGATATTGATGTATTGAAAACGCTTAAGCAATTAGATATTCGTGTACCTATCCCAGTAGGACATCTGCTCACCATATCTGAAGCAGCGAACGATAAACTTCTACAACATTGCGAGAAAAATCAAAAGCGCTTCACGTATCAGCGCATACAACGGATGTTGAAGAAGAAGGAAGGAAACGAGGAGATTGCACCTCCCAAGCCTGACACGAAAGAACCCGAAGCCGCACGAATAGCAGCGATCTCTTTAGCAGAAAAGGATCACTTCGTACGAGCTCGACCAGTACTATGGAAAAGTGCGGAATGTGACTGTGAAGTTTGGGATAAACCGTTTAATGCCCTAATCAACATAGGGTCTTCTGCAGTGGCCATATCATTGGAGACTGTTAAAAAGACGGGACAACTTGGATCCATTCTTCCTCAATCAGGCAAAGACAACTATGTCTCTGCTGACGAGGAAGCAATGAACATTGTACGCATTATCGAGAACGTGGCGGTAAAGGTCGGGCGAGTACACGTCCTTGTTAACGCACTCATAATAGATGTACGTTCTTACTCTGTGTTGTTGGGATTACCTTGGGCAATGGCGGTGGGCGCACGTCTGCATTTCGATTCGAGACAACTGGTACTCATACAAAACGGGGGAAAACCTCAAACTGTTCCTTTGTGAGTTTCCACCTGAACGATAAAACGGATCCCTAGTCCGACCCAAATAGGGATGATTCGATGCATTGATCCCGAAGAGTGCTCCCCCTCACGCCTCGGGGATGGAATCAGGGAACGAGAATACGAAGAAGAGATGCCCAGTAAAGAGGAATGGAAGCATCTGGTTGAACTTTTCAAACATGAAACCCCCGAAGAATTTCGAGTGTGCCCCGACACCGCTCGAAGCTTCCACATGGATTCTGAAGACAGTGCATTCACGCCTCTAACAACCCAGGTCAGTCCTTCAGTCCTCCTCGAGGAACCCATATTACAAGTTTTCAATCTGGCTGATGATTTGGAGCCCCCTCTCGCCTTGTACGAGGGAGCTCTTTCCTTATGAACGCGTTATCAGCAAACGGAACATTACTTAGACGTTTCTGTTTTTTCCACCCCGATCGTCACTAACGACAGGAGCCACCATCGCCTTGATTAAACAAGAAGCGGAAGCACCGGTAAATGATGTACCTAATCTGATACAAGAAATGACGGATCTAACAGGGCTAACTGTGGAACCGACTTCGGTTGGTTCAGAGACTGACGCTGAAACTAAAGAAACGGAGATGATCAGCCCCGCTGAGTCCCAGATGATAGCAATTGTCTTTTTTGTTCGCACCAGTAGTTCCGTTTTCTCTAGTGTCCATGAGCGGCGGGAACGGCCGCTTGATTTGATCGATATGCCCCTTAATATGTCCGGGGAATCGACAATCCCCCTCCCGAGTCATGTTCCCGCAGAACTTCGGAAGTCGTTAATCTGTGTATTGAATGGTTACGCAGAAGTGTTCAGCGTGCATGAAAATGATATTGGGTTAACTAATGTAATTGAACATGCCATTTTCATGGGAGATCATCCGCCCATTAGCTGCGCTCCCTACCGATACTCGCCAGCTCAACGATCGGCCGCCTTTCAGCGGATTAAGGAGTTGGAAGCTAATGGATGGATCGAATCCGCTATAGGACCATGGTCTTTTCCTGTGGTGATAGTACCCAAGAAGGCTGGGGGGATTCGCATTTGCGTTGATTATCGAAAGTTGTATGATATCACGATTAAAAATGTGTATCCCCTCCCCCGGATTGATGAGTTATTGGATGCGATTGGGAGTGCTCGATTTTTCAGCAAGTTTGATGTTCGTCATGGGTTCCATCATCTTCTTGTCCGAAAAGAAGATCATCCGAAAACCGCGTTTGTGCTTTCCGAAGGTACGTGACAATGGATTCGATGCCCGATGGGTATCTGCAACGCCCCTGCGACTTTTCAGCGGGCCATGAACATGGCTTTTCATAATTTCGTGCGGAAGACTCGCCTGGCACAAAGCATCATCAACTACGGCGTGATTGTGTACATGGATGACATCCTAGTGTATTCGAGTTCCTACGAGGGACACATGCAACACATCGAATGGGCACTGCATGCGTTACGAGATGCAGGTTTCAAGGTGGCGCTTGAAAAGTGTCAGTTTTTCCTCACCACCATTTCTTTCCTGGGGCACGTGGTGACATACAAGGGACTCCAACCAGAGCCGCAGAAGGTGGCAGCTGTCAGGGACGCGCCAGTGCCTACCACTATTACGCAAGTTCGCGCCTTTCTGGGCCTAGCCTCGTATTACTGAAGATTTATCAAGGGCTTCGCGGCGATTGCGGGACCCCTCACAAATCTACTGCGCAAGGATCAGCCGTTGATCTGGACGCCGGAGTGCGATCAAGCGTTTTCCAAACTCAAGGCTGCTCTCATTTCGGCTCCGGTCCTTATAAGACCGGATCCCGAAAAACCTTTTGTTCTCATCACCGACTGGCAGCCACAGGCGATTTCGGCGATCCTTGCCCAGGTGGGACCGAGCGGACTCGAGAGTGTATTGGAGTATGCGTCCAAATTAGTGCCCGCCTGCAAGCGCAATTACACCGCCCCAACGGGTGAATGCTATGCGGCGCTCTGGGGAATCGGTCACTACCGTGCTTACCTGTACGGGCGAAAATTCACCCTTGTGACTGATCATGAGCCCCTGTTGGCTCTGAAAAAGTCGAAGGATTACTTGGGCATGATCGGGCGATGGGCAACGGTGCTGCAAAGCATGGACTTTGACATTCGTCATCGAAAGCACGAGAGACACGTGAATGCGAACGGACTGACACGACTGCACCGGCCTGAGAAGGTTCCAAAGGGTGAGGAGGTAATTCCGTGGAACGAATCCGAACAGGAGATCGGACCTCGATACGACCAAGTGGAGATCTTATCGAAGCAGTAAGTGACACGAGGACTTATTGTTCTATTCTGCTTTCCCTGCATCCCCTCCTCCTCTGCCACCATGACTACCCAACTTGCCTCCACAACCCCTTCTTCTCCTACTAATTCTGCCCCTCTTACTTCCTCAGCTTTCTTCGACACCCTCCCCGATAAATTCTGCTATTTTTGTACCTGTATTGCACGGGTTTACGGGGTCGAATGCCATCCCTTTGAGACCGGATTTGTCGATTGGGTGGAATGTGCCACGTGTGTCAATCGTGCGCACGGAGCCTGCGTTTGATATCGAACGAGTAGCAAGGAATGGAGGTGCCCCCTGTGTGGAACGAACAAACTCCCCACGGAGGTTCGATTCGAGGCCGCCCGTACGGACGGTCCTGAATACGACAAAAAATACCGATGGGCGGAAGTCTGGACGGATAAAATTTTATTGGCGAAATTAGCGGGATTATCATTGGGCCACCTCACCAAACGCGACAGACGTAGGGCGACTGAGAGATCTCGGGATTATCGATGGATCAACGGTCATTTGGAAAAACGTAAAACTGACGGATCGGGTTCGTGGCTGACAGTTCCCCATCCCTCCCAGAGATACGATTGGATCTGATCTGCTCACAAGGAACAGGCCGCTCATATTGCGATACGTGTCACAGAGGCAACTGTAGACCAGAATCGATGGTTCTGGTCCAATATACGGGATGATGTCAAATACATATACGGGGACCAAACATGATCGTGCCAACGGAAGTAGAGCATCCTTTCCAGCGAGTCAGTATGGACACGACAGATATTGACGTACCACCTGGCCCAAACCGATGTGAATATTCCATCCTGTTAGTTTTAATTGACCATTTTTCCAAATACATCGAAGTCTATCCTTGTAAGACCCGAAAGGCCGCCGAAATAGCCACATACATCGAACGATTCCTCTATACCCATCTAGATACGGAAGAAATTCTAACTGACAATGGGTCGGAATTCAAAGGTGAGGTAGAGGAACTGGTTGCACAAAGGGGTGTCACGCTCCGACATACGGCACTCCACGTATCCCAGTCGAACGGGTTGGCCGAGAATGCCAACCGTATGATTAAAACCGCCCTTCGCAGAAACTTAGCGGCACACGATACGCGTCCTTGGCCCGAGATCGTATATCAGATCGTTGGGATCCACCGGGCCACCCCTCATGAGTCTACGGGGCTTACCCCCTTTCAGCTTCGAACTAATAGCCTCCCTTGTGTCGATTACCGGGGTAACTCGGAAATTGCCGAAGCAGGGGGTAGAGACATGCGTGCGGCCCTTAAGGCCAAGGCCAAAAGGTACACCGATTTGATGGAATGAGCCGTTCTGAAGCTAGCCCGAAAAAGACAAAGGATGACCGAGCTGGCCCACGGTAGACAGGCTCGTAGCTACGAGGCCCGGAACAGAAATGCTGGGCACCAGTACCAGTATAAATTGGGGGACCTAGTGCAAGTACGTAAATGTGCACGCGATAGGAAACTCGCTCTCAAGTTCTCTGGTTGTTTTTGCATTGTCAAACTCGGGCCCAACGGTGCCAACACGGTGCGCATCGTGCCGGAGGCTAGCGCTAGCCATAGCTCCGTCCCCATCGTCAGACATACCTCCTACCTCCGTCTCCTTCCTCCTTCCGATTTTCCTCCCTCTTCTTCCTCGGAAAGCGAGGAAAACGACGACGATCTAACCCTCCCTCCTCTTTCTCCCTCTTGTCCCTCACCCTCCTCTCCGACCTCACCATGAGTTTCATCACGGAGCGGGTTCTCGACGCACAGCTGCGGCAGCCACGTGGCCACATCTCAGAAATCCGGCAAGTTTGTCACCCTCGGCTTAATACGGATCTCCGTCGTTTGATGCGATTCTTCTGCGATGAAGGTATCTGTGCCGCCGCCGCGTTTCGGATAGAAGGAAGCCCTCACGCGATAGTGTTCGCGGAGGTTACTGCAGTTCATCGGCGAGCGGGTCCCAAAACGAGCCACGTCACCATAGTGGCAGCATTCACCGACGACTTCAGCTCGGTCAATCCGCTGCGGCGTACCGCGATCTTGGCCTCGCTACGCGAGTGGACGGAGCAAGTGTCCAACGTATGGCAGCACGTCCTCGCCCGGGAGGGGTATAACATCATCCCGATCTTTGCATCGGACATTGACGGCATTCGCCGATCACCGCGCGAGCGGCCAGTTGCGATCCCAACCCTCGTTCCCTTCCCCCATCCCCAATGAACCACGCTGCTCTTCTCGCTCCTCTCTCCATCTTTGGTCTTCCCTCTCTCTTCCCCACCTTCTGGCAATCCGATCTTCACCCTTCTCTTTCCTTCTCATTCGAACCTCTTTCAGTCCCTCTTATCAATCTTGGACATTGGCCATTGTGGCGCGAAACTTTTGAGGAGTTGTCCTTCTGCCTGACCCGAGTACAAGTGAAGTGGACGGGCACTATCAAGCACCCCACGTGGATCGAGAATCCGAAGCTGCTGATCATACAGGGCTGGAGGACTAACGCGGAAGGAGATCTTATTGGATTCCTCTTTGGATCGGTACGACCGGGTCGCCGTCAGTTGATTGCACAGGAGCTCATCGCACGGATCGTGCAATTGGCAGACGATCTCTCGCCCGACATCTACTTTCAGAGCGACAGCAGTCCTGCTCCGTACATTTTCGAGCGATCCTTGGATCCGTACCTTCAGTGGACTTCGTGCTTGGAGGAACCTAGGGACAAGGATACGCTACCATCGCGGCAGGAGTATCTGAAGCCGTACGAGATCATCCCTTACGCCTTCTACTCGAGGGCAGAAGAAGTGGTGATTGACGACAACGACGACGAAGAAGAAAACGACGACGAGGAGACATCGGAGGAGGGAAGCTATAGTGAACATAGTGAGGGCGAGCTGAGCAAAGGGGAAGAAGGTGGAACCGGGTCCGAGTGGGAAGCCCCGCCGGAGGAAGCGACGCGTACGGGAACGGAGGCGGAATATCCGGAAGCGGCGTGAAAGCGCGAAGAGATTGCCTCCGGAAAGCCCCAGCTGGAGTTCGCTATTGAGGCTAGCCTGCGCATCGGTAGCAATCCGACCAGGGATCCAGAGCCGCCGAGGCCCGAAGATGGCGACCCTGCAGCCGCCACCTCAAAAACCGCGCGACGGAGACAACGCAGATCCCCCTCCTCCTCCAGCCCCACCCGTCCCCCAGTTCGCCCACGTACCAATGCGGGCGATAGGCCCCGCCGACCCCTTGATTTTCTCACCCTCGAGTAGATCCGTACCCCCGTCACCTTCCCTTCCCATCCTTTCCATCCCCATCTCTTCCGCGACTTCTACTCTTCCCGTCTACTCGCCACCGTCCACCCCCACGCCTCCCTTCAGTACGCCGCTCCCACGTTCTGATGGCATCTCCTGCTGTTCAGCGTCGCATGGGAGCAATGCAACGTGGTAGAAGTTTACTGCATCGCCACGGGGACAATCCCCGCTTRCCGCCACTTCGAGATCTTTCGAGCGGCGCTTTTCCGTACCCTCTTCTCCTTCTATCGCGACTACCTCGCCTCCCTCCCCCGCAGTGGCGATCATTTCCCCCGCTTCCACCGAATCATCCGATATGAGGAGCTCCCGGTGACGATGGAAGGGATGAATCGCTTCCAACCCCCACTCCCCCCCCGTCATCCCCGTGTGATCCCCAGCATGTACCATCTCTACTGGCCTATTCCAACTAGGCGGTAGACCCCATTCACTTGAACCTCCCCCCCCCTTTTTTTTCCTTTCCTCCCTTCATCGGCACGAGTCGGTAAGCTTCGCGAAGATCATGCCATCAACGATGACGTCAACCTACGCGCTGATTCGACAGACGGCAACGAGCAAGGGTGCAGAGCACACGGAGATCAGGTGGACCATGATGGCGTCACCTGGATGATCTCCACGAGGCAGAGGGTTGCATATGACAGGGCTACAGAGATCTTGCCACGGATGTTGTCGCCATCTCATCCGCGGCCCAGTTATTGTTCCTTGTACTTCTTTCTGCTCTGTTGATACGCTTGATTCCTCATGCATCACTCTGTTCTCCCCTCTTCTTTTTCGCCATGACATGCAATCATGAGATCGCATAATTTTGGAACCCCCTGCGCGCACAAGAGGTTAACGGGGCATCTCGTTTTCAGGCCTGAAATTTTTGAAATTAGGGTTTTGGGCTCAAATTTCATGTTTTTTTGGAATTTCAAGTTTTTGCTATATATGCATTTTGATAAGGTTGCCGTATATGAAATTTGGGGTTATTTGGAGTTTTAGAATTTGCGCTATTAAGATTTCTGAAATTTTTGAAATTGGTCGAGTTTTTTTTGGGCCAAATTTCATAACCTTTGGCTTGCTGTTTTATATGTTTTTAATTGTTTTTTTTAGGGTTTTTTTCTGTGATGGGGTCGTAAGAAGTGCACTCTATAGATTGGTGTGAAGTGTTGTTAAAATGACTGTCTGGTTTTCTNAGAAGTGCACTCTATAGATTGGTGTGAAGTGTTGTTAAAATGACTGTCTGGTTTTCTTATAAATGGGCCTGAAAAATGGGTGCTCGGTTAACCTGCTCTCCCTGCGCGTCACATATGTGACGAACCACTTCCCGACCCCGTGCCATCTTTCGTACCCCTTCTTTTGCTTGTATCATACCAACCCCAGGAAAACCCCGTTTTCAGTTCTTGCTTTCGGGTGCTGCATTTTCCTTTTTTAGAGCTTTTTGGACTGCTGAGTTCTGTTTTTCTTTTTGCGAAGTCGGGAAATACGTGGGAATTTACGTCCGCCTTAGCGAGCGCACTAGGAATTGGGCTCGGTAGTTGGGAATTCCGGGATAAGGAGAACTTCGACATGTCCTTTTTGGGTGTGTGAATGTTCTTGGGTGCGTCGGGGAAAACTCTCGGAATTTTGCGTGAATGCGAGTAGGCGTAGGATTTTCTTTTCCCCCGTCGTTTTTTCACGCGCGGATATGGTGATTTCAATTTTGAATTAGGATAGAAGCAAGCTGTAACTATTTCGGTGCCTTTTTCTTTTTTCGTTGACAGCACCATGCATGCAAAAGCTTCTTCCTCTCTGTCCCCCGCATCGCTCCCTCCCGCGCCTCCCTTCCCTTCTCCCTCCTTTTTCTCTCTCCCCGTAACTGTTTTTCCTTCTCCCTCTCTCTCTCTTCCGCCTTGCTTTCGCGCGCCCATTTACCTTTCTTAATCATCTGAATCTTGCACCCGTCTTGCGCCACCTCCCGCGCCTTTTCTCTTCTCACCCTCTATGTCTGGCGTACGACGTCCGGTCGATCCCCCGATAACTCCCGCTCGCCAATCAGGTGCGTGGATCGATAGGACCTTCCTATCGCGCGACGAATCTGATTGGTTGAACCTTGAGTTCCAAGTGATCACCATGGCGTTCGTAGAGCACTCTTCTCAAAGTCTTCTCCTCCTGCTTCTCCTCTTACACCTCAGCTTTCCTGTCGCTTTCTCCCCCTTCTATCTCCCCTGTCGCAACTATAAAACCCGCAAGCGCATTCGCAAATCTCTCTTACGTTCTCGACTCTCAAGCCAGCTTCCGGGAAGCAGTGGCTAGGCAGAGTGTTTGAAGCGADTCGGAAAGTCCTGTCGGGCTAACGATAGGCTGGCCGGTTGTGCGTTGGATCGCCACGACGGACTGTGGGATCTTGGTGAACCGTGTCAAGTTTACGACAGCGGGGTGACGATCGCAGTGGTAGGAGTTAGCACGCGACGGCCGGGATCGTCGGTGCGGGTATGAGGCTCGATGATTAGAGTTGAGTGAGTGATTGGCCCGGGGCCATAGTGGAATTAACGGCGAATGCGCCTTTGTTGCGGATTGTTATCCTTGGCATGAGTGTGAGGCGGCGACGCCGAACTTTTCTCTTTTCGGACCTTGTCATCTTCTATTTTGACTCTCTTTCTCTCGACTGTCTCTCTCTCTCTCTCTCTCTCTCTCTCTCTCTCTCTCTCTCTTTCCTCTTGAATGATGGTGCGTCTGAATGATTGTCCCGCTCTTGAATGGGAATGAGTCGGCACTCTGTGTGAAAGAACTTCTTCCGAAACTGTTCCATTAGTTTCCTGGGTAATCCTCCTACCCAAGGACCCTGTCTTCTTGTCTTGTAAACGGTGGATGTGTGTGTACTGAGTAATGCGATCCATCTTTTCCTGTGCATGTCTCATTTTCGCACCTTCCACAGTGAGTGCATGTATGAAATGTGTAACTCTTTTGTTGA